ACGGCTAAACAGTGTGGCAGGGAGCACAGAGGTGGTGTTGGAGAGAATTTGCTGAGTAAACAAAGAAGAAAGAGATGAACAGATGAAAGAAAGAGTGGATGGATGAAAATTTCTTCCGTTCTGCCAAAACTGGCCAGAGTGTTAATTCATGAAGGGAGAGGGAACGTATGTGTGTATGTGTATGTATGTGTGTGTGACAGAGAGAGAGAGAGAGAGAGCGCGCGCGAGAGAGGCTAATATCCACCAAATCACTTACCGACTCTAGAGGCAGCTGTTCCTCAAGGCCAAGTTCAAGGTCGCTACTCTGCTAGTTGCCAGTACAGAGCTGGGCACCGAGGAGGAGTCAGGCCCACGTGCTAATCTTGGAGAAGGGGCTGACAGTGTGGAATCTCCCAGGGTTTCTCCTGAGAGGCCTGGTCTGTGAATTGGGTGGCACAATCATCTGGCCCTTTATTGCCAGTGAGTTTTCTATCACCCAAGAAACCTCAGGACACACCCTTGGCACAGCTGTGGTGTGGAAATGGAGCCACCGCCAATGGGATGAGTGATCACAAGGCTGAGTGGACTCCCTCTGGCAAAGGTGGCCTAGGCAGAGCGTCTAAATTATCCAGAGGTCTGTGCCAGCCCAACCGCAACCTCTCCCAACCCCCATCTCATAGCCAGCTCATCTGGTTATTATCATCATCACTGTGCCTAGTTTATTCATTTCACCTTCCACTGTGTAGATAACACCGTCTTCACTTACTTATTATCTCATGGAGTCTTCAAGAGTCTGGAGAGATCAGTATTGTTGTTCCTATTTTGCACGTGGGGAAACTGAGGCTCATAGAGGTGAAATGACTGCTCAAAGATCAGTAATTGGCACAGTTGGCATTCAAACCTATAAGGGGTGAGGTGTGGTGGCTCACGTCTGTAGTCCCAGCTCTTTGGGAGGCCAAGGCAGGAGGATCACTTGAGGTGAGGGATTTGAGACCAGCCGGGGCGTAGTGAGACCCTATCACTAAAAAAATAAAAAAATAAAAAGACGGCATGCACCTATAGTTCTAGCTACTCAGGAGGCTGAGGTAGGAGGCTAGCTTGATCCTAGGAGTTTGAGGCTGCAGCAAGCTAAGATTGTGCCTCTGCACTCCAGCCTCAGTGACAGAGCGAGACTCTATCTTAAATATAAAAACAAGCCCTAAAAGATTCTTGCCCAGTTGCCTTAACTGATGCATCACGTTGATTCCTCTTTTCCCCCTCCTCTATTGTTTTTCAGTCATTTTATTTAATTTTATTTTACTTATGTTAACAGTGAAACCAAAGGCGAACCTGATTAAGCCCTCCAAACTTAATCTACCTTGCTTTTAATGGCTTACGTGCTTTTAATTGCTTACTTTTAATTGCTTACTTGTAGTTGATCCTAAAAGCACAAGTCACGTAGTCAAATAATGCATAACTAAACTCCCACTAGCTTCCTTACAGATAACATCTCTGACCGTGGGTCACTATAGTAATGGGTGCTTAAAAAGTTATTTTTCGGGAACTAGGTAGGAGGTAGCTCTTGTTTAGTTTAAGCCAGTGGAGATCACTGACCCTGCATCTGGACCTATGTGAGTAGCAGACATCAGAGGGCTGTAAACTCCACCCTCAGATCATGCTAAATGCTATTTTCTGCACAAATGTCCTATCTAAAGCCATGTAGCTCAAACATGCTTGCTCAGAAATCCTGATTACCTCGCCTTCCCTACCTGCCAGTCACCTTTCTCCGTACTTTAGACCACCCTGTTTTCTATTCCATAAGTACCCTCAAACCCTATTTTTGGGGAGGAGAATTTGAGACCTGTTTTCCCACCTCCTTGCTTAATTGCCTCATGATGAACTCTTTCTCTTCTGCACAATCCGTCATTACAGTGATTGGCTTGCTGCACAGAGGCAGAACAAACTTAGTTCGATAGCAACAGCTTAAATGAGATATAATTTACATATTATACAACTCACCCACCTAAAGTGTCCAATCCAGTGGGTTTTAGTATATTCACAGTGATGCAGCCATTGCCACAGTTCATTTTAGAACATTTTGTTTTTTCTTTTTTTGGAGACAAGATCTTGATCTGTCACCCAGGCTGGAGTGCAGTGGAGCAATCACAGCTCACTGCAGCTTAAAACTCCTGGCCTCATGCGATCCTCCTGCCTCAGCCTCCTGGGCAGCTGGGACTACAGATGTGCACCACCATGCCTGGTTAGTTTTTTCCTTAAGATTTTTTGTAGAGACAAAGTCTTGCTATGTTGCCCAGGCTGGTCTCGAACTTCTGGCCTCAAGGGATCCTCCCCACTTGGCCTCCCAAAGTGTGGGATTATAGGCGTGAGCCACCACACCTGGCTCATTTTAGAACATGTTTATCACCCAGTACCCTTTAGCTATCACTCCCAATCTCTCCATACATCCTAGCCTTAGGCAACCACTAGCTGACTTTCTGTCTCTGTAGGTTTCCCTGTTCTGGATATTTCACAGAAATAGAATCACACGCTATGGATTTTTGTGTCCGGCTTCTTTCATTCAGCATGATATTTTCAAGAACAGTATTGGGGGGATGTTGGTTTGTTGTCTCATGTTTCATTTTGTTTTGGTTTTTAGAGAGCCAAGTGTTAGATATCTTTCAGCAAACTATTGCAGATACTCCCATTCCAAGTCCTTCCCTTAAGATCCAACATTCTTTTTTTTTTTTTTTTTTTTTTTTTTTTTTTTTTTTTTTTTTTTTTGAGACGGAGTTTCGCTGTTGTTGCCCAGCTGGAGTGCGGTGGCTGGATCTCAGCTCACTGCAACCTCCGCCTCCCGGGTTTATGCCATTCTCCTGCCTCATCCTCCAGAGTAGCTGGGACTACAGGCACCCGCCACCTCGCCCGGCTAATTTTTTGTATTTTTAGTAGAGATGGGGTTTCACCTAGTTAGCCAGGATGGTCTCGATCTCCTGACCTCGTGATCCATCCGCCTTGGCCTCCCAAAGTGCTGGGATTACAGGCTTGAGCCACCACGCCCGGCCAAGATCCAATCTTCTTAGCTGACCAGACCCTATAAAGCAATGAGATTTCAAGGAGGAAGAAGATAGCATCCACATTGTAGCACATATTAGTACTCCATTCCTTTTTCTGGCTGAATAATAGTCCATTGTACAGATATACCTCATTTCGTTTATTCATCTGTGGAGGGACATTTGAGTTGTTTTAGGCTTTTGGCTCTTTGAAGGATGCTGTTATACATATTTATGCACAAGTTTTGTGTGGATTTTTTTTTTTTTTGAGATAGTGTCTCACTAAGTTGCCCACGCTGGAGTGCAATGACATGATCTTGACTCACTGCAACCTTTGCTTCCCAGACTCAAGCAATTCTCCAGCCTCAGCCTCCCCAGTAGCTGGGACTACAGGCGTGCACCACCATGCCTGACTAATTTTTTGTGTGTTTTTTGTAGAAATGGGGTTTAGCCATGTTGCCCAGGCTGGTCTTAAACTCCTGAGCTCAAATCGATCCACCTGCCTGGGCCTCCCAAAGTGCTGGGATTACAGGCATGAGCCACCATCCTTAGCCTGATGCGAGTTTTAATTCCATTCCTGGTAGTGCAATTTTCAAGCAATGCAGAAATTTTTTTTTTTTTTTTTTTTTAGCAAAACTGGCCCATTCTCATCCCTCCAGTTCATCCCTTTGCTTCCAGGTAACCCAGGCACAAGACTGAGCAATTTCCCTTCAGTTGCTATTTCCGCATTGACTTACACACATTCGCAGTGTTAGTTACATAGGTGGGTTCATTCTACAAAATTGTCCTGTTACTTGCCTGGTTCACTGAATTACATGTCTGGGTCATCTTTCTATGTTAGCACATATGGAACAAACTCAATTTTTTTGTGTTCTTTAAACAACTATTGAGAATAACCTGTGTGAAGAAAAGTGCATGACTCTTTTTATTTTTATTTTTATTTTTGAAATGGAGTCTCACTCTGTCACCCAGGCTGGAGTGCAGTGGCGCGATCTTGGCTCACTGCAACTTCGGCCTCCCTATTTCAAGCGATTCTCCTGCTTCAGCCTCCTGAGTAGCTAGGATTACAGGCACGCACCACCACACCTGGCTAATTTTTGTATTTTTAGTAGAGACGGGGTTTCACCATGTTGGTCAGGCCGGTCTCAAACTCCTGACCTTGTGATCTGTCCCCCTCGGCCATGAGTCACCGCGCCCGTCCTAGTGCACAACTCTTAAATGTGCACCTTGATAATTTTTTTCAAAGTGAACATACCCACATGACTGACGATTCAATGGAGCCATTGAATCAATTCTGCAATGGCATAAAAAGTACACACTTTTCACTAAAAGAGAAACAAAACCCAGGGAAACACCAAATCAAACTGGACATAACATGTCCTTACTTCATGACAAAATTTTAGCTAAAGCATGCTTTTGCTGTCTTCTTCCTCCTTGAAATCTCATTGTTTCACAGGGTCTGGTCAGTTAAGAAGGTTGGATCTTAGGAGAATCAATCGGGACTTGAAGTGTTTGCAATGATGTGTTGGAAGATGCCTGACACTTGGCTCTCTAAAAACAAGACAAAATGAAGCCAAAAAACCACAACAAACCAACATCCTCCAACACTATGCAACCATAAAAAGAAGGGAATCCTGTCATTTGTGGTAACATGGATGGAACTGGAGGACATTATTTTAGGTGAAATAAGCTATAAACAGAAAGTTAAACAGCACATGTTCTCATTCATATGTGGAAGCCAAAAAAGTAAGAGTTGATTTTGTAAAAGCAAAAAGTGGAACAGAGGATGTTAAAGGCTGGGAAAGGTAGGGGGAAGAGAGGATAGGGAGAAATTTGTTAAAGGATGTAAAATCACAGCTAGTGCTATTCACAACAGCAAAAACATGGAATCAACCTAGGTGCCCATCAACAGTGGATTGGATAAAGAAACGTGTTATGTGTATGCACCATGGAATACTATGCAGTCATAGAAAATAAAATCATGGCCAGGTGCATGGCTCACGCCTGTAATCCCAGAGATTTGGGAGACCAAGGTGGGTGGATCTCCTGAGGTCAGGAGTTTGACAACAGCCTGGCCAACATGGTGAAACCCCGGCTCTACTGAAAATACAACAATTAGCCAGGCGTGGCAGTGCATGCCTGTAATTCCAGCTACTGGGGAGACTGAGGCAGGAGAATTGCTTGAACCTGGGAGGTGGAGGTTACAGTGAGGTGAGACCGGCTCAGCCTGGGTGACAGAGCAACACACTGCCTCAAAAAAAAAAAAAAAATAAAAAAAAAAAAAAAAAAAAAAAAAAAAAAAAAGAAATGGAAAGAAAACAACAAAATCATGTCTTTTGCAACAACGTGGATGCAGCTGGAGGCCATTATCCTAAGCAAATTAGTGCAGGAACAGAAAAGCAAACACCACAT